CCTGGTGGCTGGATTTGCTCCTATGTCTATGGAATATCTTACATACGCCTCTCACTTCAGAAGCCCCAAAGCCCATTTGTGGATGGCTGTCCACTCACCCAGCTGTCTATTTTCTGACCTGGCTCTCCAGCATCCCCCAGGACCCTGGATAGTTTCAAAACAAAAAGAAAGATAAGATGTATCCTTGTTCAATCGGTCAGAGTTGTTTTCTACTCTCACAACTTAGTAGCCTCATGTCTAATTTACACTGTAGCTCATCTGTCCCTATCTTCCCTCTTGACTCTCTCTCTCCAGTCCTAACTCGCAGGAAACCTTCCGCTCTGATACAGTGCTATCCTGAAATGGCCTCCCTGTGCCCACTTAACCCCTTCTACACAACCACAGTGACCTTTCCGAATGAATGCCTAGCACTGCCATCTATGAAATCTTTCTGACCACTTAATGTCTCACAACCAATATAACCCAGCATGATCGGGTTCCCGACTCTCTAGCCTCAAGAACCCATCAGCTGACAAGGGACAAAGAAAACGTGTCCCACCCGCGGAAGGGGTGCTACTTCACATTCAAAATATAAAGTGCTGTTATAGCCAAAATGTAGATGAAACCCCTGGACATGACTACCAAATTCCTGTCTACATGCTTAAAGACTTCAGCCTTCTATAAAGATCAATGACGCTTGTATTTTCTCTTAGAGAGAACTTGAAACTATTTAAGGGTTCATACTAAAATTGGCTAAATTCCTTGTTCACGATTCACAACTGCTTTTGGAAGAGGCCAAGTCTTGGTTTCTGTAACGAGGTGTGTGAGCCCACTACGTGACTACGGCTTCAGAGACCTCGGTCCTTCAGAGACTGATGCCTGCACGGTTGCATCGACTCACTTTTTCCCATTGCTCTCCCTCTCTTAGGTTTAGTTTTATCCACTGAGGAACGTGGGATAATGAGAAACACCCAGAGCACTCCAATTCCCAATCAAATCTAACAGTCCTTATTGCTCCCCCAGAAGAAACCAATCAGGCCACACTGGCCAGGCCCCACAGCAAGGGGTTCTCCTATCACGTCGATGTCCACTTGGGGTGGCTCACAATGGACACCTGTCCTCTTGTGACCCAAACACGACTCTGGGGACGCTCGAACCAGCAGCCATTACAGCTTCTGTTCATGTGAAGCTTGGATCTCTGGCACAAGAAAGGCTGTGAATGGCCTGCACGGACAGGCAATGATGTCAGAGACCAGCCCCCACAGCAGAGACAGTAGGGCAGTGTTCCAGGCAGGACAGTCAGCCATGGGAACAGCACTGACAGACCGGGAGCTCAGCTGCGCTCCAAAAGCATCTACTGTACCGTCACATGCTGCCCTGAGCCCAGATCGGGACACAGGACACAGTACAAGGTAATCCTCTGCTGACGGGCGCTGCCGGCTGCCGGCAGAGTCCAGCCACCCTCTCCTGCTCTCCTTCCACAAGCATTTCCCCCACTGAACTAGTGCTCTGCTTAATTCTGCCTGACTACTGCTTCTCGGGTGGCCAAGCTTGGCACAGCTGGGGTGATAACTTATACTTTCTGACAACAGCAACCTTCAAACAGGTCTCAGAAAACTGGCATTTTGTAAAAATAATAATGTGTAAAGCAGACCGCAGGTTTGAAGTTTCTAACTTCTCTACTCCACTGTCTCTGTCTTCAAAGGGACACCAGTAATAGAAAAGCAGGCTTTTAAATGGGTATGTCAAATTAATCAATCACCCATCTGTCTGGCTGGCTGCCCTATGAGCTTGGGGAGGGGGGCCTCTCCCATGCATGCTTTAACAAGTAACAAGTTCTAGGTCACTAGCAGCAGGGACTCGATAGATACCCTGCTGGCGGAGGCAAGACACAAAATCAGGAAACCCAGCAGTGGTCACGGGGATCCAGGTTGGACAGGATTGACAGCCCTCCCTAGAGATATGGAAAAACAGTTAAACGCACACCTACTGTTTTCATTGTATGAACTACGGGGAACAAACTTCAAGTTCCCTTTTTATACATTACAGAAAGTAGAACAGGGCAAATATCAAGAAACACTACAGGTGATCTTCACTTGTGCAGGAGCTTTGTACCAATGACACTAGAAGCCTAAACCAATCACTGCCTCTAAGGAGTATCCAAAGCAGAGTCTGGAACTAGGAGAATGGGTTACGGTAAATTGTGTAGACCGACATACGCGTATGGATTACACACACACACAGACACATTAATTACAGGTCATATTTAATGACAGATATATAGACTTCTTTATTCTAACACATTTCAATACACTCCAGATTTACTCAGGCATCAACAGATATTTCTGACAGCTGTAATTATATTTCCTTTCTTGTTCCTTTCTACCATGCGATTAATTTTCCTTACGACAAAATATCTACTTAGTCAAAAGTTAGCATTTACTAAATAACCTAACGACTGTAAACAGAGGAAAATGGTTGAGAATTACATTATTCTGCATAACTTGATTCCTTCGTTGACTATTTAATTAAAAAAGCAATTTGTTTCACCAAGTGTTAGTATGTTTATGATGATTACATTTTTGCTGCAACAATGAAAACAAGTGTATTAGTGCAGACCCCAAACTATGACACTTTAATTAGCGCTTCTCATAGCAGATTAATCCATCTAAATTATATCTTGTCAGTGGGGAATTTTTTTTTTTTCACATATTGATGATTTAAAACCCAATTACTTTTCTCCCTATTGTTTTAAAAGCTCACAATAACACTGGCTGGAGCAGTGAGCTTCTGTGCACATCTTATCTGTGAAACACTCTGTAGACCAGCGCTGGAAAAAATAACGTAGCAAAAAGCAAGAACAAATACACAGAGCTGGGGGGTCTATGTGGTTGGGTTGGGTGTGCTTGCCCAGCAGACACAAAGCCCTGGGTTCGGCTCCCAGCACGGCGTAAACTGGGCATGGCGGCACAGACCACGGACCTGTGCTGAGGAGGGGGAGGCGCCATGAACAGAAGCTCAAGTTCATACTTGGCTATACAGTGAGTTTCAGGCCAGCCTGGGCTACATGAGACCTTGTGTAAAGCCAAACTAAAGATAAACCCTGCAACAATCTATGAGAATATGAAGTAAATAACTCCAGGTCTTTTATTACATATGAAAGACTCCATGGGAAATGGTGTGTAAGGTGGGCTCCTACAGAACCCATGCCAGTCAGTCCTGAACTCCGGACACTTTTCTTCTGAAGGGCTTGGGAAGAGCAAGAAAGCACAGTTCTTCTCGTGTTACCTAGCCAGCACGTCATTTATCAAATGCGCCAGCCTAACACAGATACGAATTAACGCGTCTACCTGCCTGCTCCAGGGGCCTATAAAACATTGCACAAAGAAGCCACAGTGAAAACTAATTCTTAATAACTTAATTAAATATTTTATACAAAAATCATAGAAGAGCAAATAATAACAAATAGCTGAGCAGAAGTAAGAGATATACAAAATTGGCAATTACAGGTTAAAGGAAACAAAGAGGCCTATAATTTTAGAACGTCTGGTGATGTGGCAGCCGGGTAAGACTAACATGTAATTTCCTAGAGGAGATATGCCCTGTATTTAATACGGAAAACAATGGAAATGCTAATCACAAAACCCGAGTCCTGGCCCACAGGTACTGTTGTCCTCCAGAGCTGTCGGAAATCACGTGGAAGAAATTGCTTACAAAGTTTCATGATAATCATCCCTGGCATAAACACGAGTGAGCGTGTTAAAGATAAACAACCTGCCAAGCAGAGAGAGTACCCATTCCTCCCTCGTCCGTCCGACACATCCTCACAGTCCCCCCAGAAGGGCAGTCTAGGGGACAGAGGATGAACAAAGAGGACCCCAAGCCCTGTAGCCGGGGTGGCGGGGAGGTGTGGGGCGCGGGGGATGTGTGTGTGTGTGTGTGTGTGTGTGTTGGGGGTGCAGTGCTATGCACATAAGGCGGGATCCACAGTCAGGAAGGACAGGTTTAGGCGTGGATGTCCCACTCTGCCATAAGAACACCCTGCGGTGCCAGTAGGTAAGCACTGAAAGGAAGAAGCGGGGGGGGGGGGGGGGGGGGGAGGGAGGAGAAAGTGCAGTCAGGATGTAGTGTGTGAGGAGAACAAGGAAAAAAAAAGTCGAAAGAGAATTATAACATGACAAGCTGTCTTCACCATGTTTTACTATAAATCTATCATGCAATCGTGCTTGTGTGTGCGTATGTGTGTGAGCATGCCTGTGTGTGCAAGTGTGCGTGCATGTGTGTGCACGTGCATGTATGTGTGTGCACGTGTGTGTGTATGTATGTGTATGTGTGTGTGCGTGTGTGTACATGCACGTGTGTGTGTGTGCATGTGTGCGTGTGCCTTGCATGTGTGTGTGCGCGTGTGTACACGCGCACACACACACACACATGTATCCCACTGGATGCATGTGAACATCAGAATGCAAGCTCAGTGTTGGTCCTCACCTTCCACCTTATCTAAAACAAGGTTTCTCAGATGTTTGGTGATAGCTGTCCATGAACTTCTGGCAACTCTCACCCTCACGGCAGAAGAACTGGGGGGTTAGAAGATGCACATGATACCAACTAGACATCGCTGAACATGATTTGTACACGGAAGACTTTGCAGGTCGCCAATGGCCTGCGTCACAAAGTCACCATTTTCTCTGTTTCTTTAATTGTCACACTCCTCTCATCTCGAAGTCCACACAAAGACAGAGGCTAAAGTTAGCAAACAAACATAATTTGCCAACCCCTCACCTAGGACCTGAGCATACTTCAAGTGCTGTCAAGCTCACACAGTACGCTTCCTTCCATTAATTAATGTCTTTGCATTTGCGTCTGTCAAAGACCCGGTAACTCTTTTCTACAGCTACAACAGTTTCAATTATGGCAGCTTCCATGTCACCGCTGCATCGCAGAAGAAAAAGACAACCACACAGACAACCCTTGCTAAGCCTATTTCCCTGTGGAGCAGACAAGGTGGGGAGTCCCCTTACCTTGCTGGGGGGACATCGATATTAGACGAAACCACTTTTCGCTTCTGCTCAAGGAGGCAAATGGACCGAGTGTTTTCTTTCTCTTGGTCAAGGATTCGGTTGGCTTTCTTGGTGTCCACTGCTTTCATGCCTTCCTCCATGGCCAGTGGGAACATGTGCTGAGATGGCTTCTTACCGCAGTCATGTTTTAAGTCCTCTGATTGAAACGTGAAGGTCATTTCTCGCTTGAAACTCCCCACCTGCAAAACACAACACAGAAAAAACTCTTACATGGAACATCAGCTCTGCCGGGCTGTGGCGAGGAGACACCATACTCTCCTCCCTGTTCGCGTTAGTCTATTGTTTAACTGGGCGAGATGCAACACAGCTCAGGGCCAGCCTGGTCTACATGGCGTGCTCCCGGACAGCCGAGGTTACGCAGAAAGATCCTGTCTCAAAACAGCAGCAACAAAGGCATCGCCAACTCAAGAAATGGCTTTCTTTCGAGACATGAGAGCACTAGTTCTCTGTGCTTTTATGTTTTAAAGCCATTATCCTGCTTAATAAAAAGGCAGCCAATGTACAAAGGCAAATTATCTTACTGACCTGAGTTTTCACGAATAAGGTGTTAAGACAAACATGAAACCAAAGCTCGGAGAATTAAACCCCATTATTTCCAATTTTGGAACCATTGGGGGAAAAGTAAACTAAGGTTAAAGCTTTTATAAGGTAACTGCCATTTATAAATCGATTCAGCAGCAAATTAATTCAAGTCTTGAGTATAGTAAGAAGGGCCAGGCTCTCCAGCCATCTGGGATCTCAGCATTCAAGGGCGCATATTTTAGAATAAGCTCACCAGGAGGACATTTCACAGACACACAAAACAAGCCATTCTCTGAGAGTTCAAAGAGTCTTTACCCAGGCCTGAAATACAAGCTATGTTTGTTTGTTTCTATTAAGTTTAGACAAAAAACTTAGCAGACCTCAGTCCAACATTTCTATTTGCAGAACAGAAAGCAGTAAGCAAACCACATAGTAAAACGAAAATGTGTTTGATAATAGCAAGAGTCTCTCGTAATAGTCAGGACAAATTCCCAGACCAAGGGAAAACTCAGGTATATATATGTATGTACACCATCACAGGACTTATCCAGATAGGTAATTTCCAGCACTCAGGACAACACCCAGAGTTCCCAGGGGCTCTGTCCGCCCCTTAGCCTTCCAGTGATGGAGAGTGAAGACCAGCCTCCAGCTGCACAGCAAAGGCCAGCCAGTTTTGGTCTACTTGCAGCTCATGAAGCCATCACCAGAATCTTACACTGACTTAGTGAAGCAAGGGCCCTAGAAAACTGGATGCCTGCTTTAAAGCGGTAACCGTTCTGATGACAACCCCACACAGCAAAGGGGCAAGAGAATGGACATGTAACAAAGGCTCCAGGAAGTCACAGCTGAGCAGAGAGCAGACAGCCTGTAGTGGCCTGACCTGGTTCCTTTGCGTTTATGTTATGTAGTTCTTGTGGCACTCCTAACCAGGGGAGCGGGCTGTCTGATTCTTTTGCCTACTTAAAGGGCCGGTTTCCCCCTACTGGGTTGCCTTGTCCAGCCTTGATGTGATAGTTTGTGCCTGATCTTGTATTATGCCGGATTTGGTCAATGTCCCTGGGAAGGAAGCCTTGTTCTCTTCTTAGGGGAGATGCAGGGAAGGTAGATTAGGGGTGGGAAGCTGGGGGGAGGCTGGGGGTGTGTGAAAGAATTGCAGTTGGAATACAAAATAGGAGAAAAATTCAAAAATTACAGTTGAGAAAGCAAACAAAATGCTACGATTCTAAGTGTCACTAATCAATACTCTACATAAATCTTTCTGCCTTGTCATTGGTGGGTGACAGGGAGGTGGAATTTTGCTTCTGTAGTGACCTGTTCCCAGCTTACATTGCGACAGGAGACTTTAGACTCCAAGCAATAAAAAGAAACAGAGGTTTCGGTGTGTGTGTGTATGGTTCGGTGTACATGTATCAATAGCATCTGCTAAACACTAATACTACGTGAGCTAAATATTAATGATGATCGCTGGTTACCATCAGCACCTGCCAACCGCAATGCCACACGAGCTAAATATTAATGATGATCTAAGTCAACAGCCCTGAGATGAAACAGTGATAAGCCATGCCTCTCCCAGGACCAGCTGCACTCACTAAATGGCTCCCATGGAAACGCTAAAGTGCAAGACAGAAGAAATGTAGCTTTTGACCTCTCGAGCTTAAAGAAAAAAACTCAAGGCAAATAAATACAAATAGAAAAGTTCCCAACAGCAATGATGTAATAACCATATGCTATGCTCTTGGCCAAGAATACACAGTAAAACGGGGTAGTAATGTTCTACAGCAAAAGCTATCAATCTTCCTGAACAAAAACTCAACACTCAGCAGTAAACGGGAAATTTCACAAACTACGAACTTCAGGAGCAACTGAATGCACGGTCCCTGTTTACAAATGATTAGAAACGACTACAGAAGCGAGTAATAGATGTTAGATCCCTAGTAGGGAGAGACGCTGTTACAGTAGCTCCTGCAAACCAGCACCAAGAGAAGGATTGATGGCTGTCAGGCCAGGAGCAGACACACTGATGGATTTCAAATGGGGGTGAAGGGACTTCCTGGGGGGCTGGGAATGCTCTACCATAGACCACAGTGATATCTGTTCAGTGGTTAAGCTCGTTAAAACCCACTGGCCTGTATTCCTACAATGGGATCAACGTTCACGATCAAACTGATTCTAGGGCAACCAAATTAGCAGTGAGCGACTTTGATGTGGAAGGGATGAACCCCAAACACCCCAGACCAGAAATTTGGAAATCGAGGCAATGCTGTCCTGCATAAAGTACAGGAGTCGGTACTGTTGTACCCGGTATTGGTAAAATATGCCTAAGATCCAGTCTCTGCCCAAACCACTCTCTAAGTTTCCTATCTGAGCAAGACGGCCATTTTTCTTTTTCATTCACCTGGAAAGGAACTTTTTGTACTTCATCTGCTCAAACATACACCCCCCACCCCCCATGTTTTCACAGCCCTTGAGTTCCTGGAGATATGCAAGCTCTAGGCTGTCTCCTTCTTTGAAACTGATGTCAATTAATTAGGTGACTCATAAATACAAGTCAGTATCCTCTCAAAGGAAATGGCACTAGCTGAGAAGCCACTATATGCTATGGCTCCGAACAGGAGAATAATCTGACAGGTGACAGCTAGGAACAACAGTGACAAAAACCAATCTGAATGGGGAGAAACAGCAGTGCTGCTAACGGCAAAGAGAAGAAACAGCGGGCAGAGCTCAGAGGAAACAGCAGCTTGCGGGGGGGGGGGGGGGGGGGCACAGACCAAACAGACGCGGGGCAGATGTCAGCTTCAAGTGTCCAGAAGTGGTGACTACAACTGGGCAGAACAACTTTTGCTTCCAGAAGGGTCCTAGGTATCAGGGGCCAGCTGATGTGATGTGGTCCCTCAAAAAATATATGCCTGCTTATCTTACCAGAGCTTGAGGTATTTCCCAAGCCTCCTGGCTCCCTGCCATCACTACATCTGAATGGGTAACTACAGGAAATGCCCGAGTAGCCTTAAACACCCATCCAGGAAAACCTAAAGCTGTCGGAACTTTTAGGGTTCTTTTCTTCCCCTTTCACATGTGAAAAACTAGAAGGCAAAGGAGGGTGTCACACACTAGGACTGGCAACGTAGGCAATAACCTGATTCCCTAGCGACTAACACACACCTGGCAGCAGAAACCTGAAGGATGGGTAAGAACTTCCTTGGCTAGAGATTGTTTGAAGCAAGCCTCTGAGGACGAAGGCAGAGCATACAGGTAAAGGTCCCCAGCTGGTAACCCCGTGAGACAGAAAATGTGAGGAACAGCAAGGTGGAAGGTGAGTAATTTCAGGGGAAAGTACAGAGATTTTGGATCAACTGTCACAAAGATGTTTAAGGACAGCGTCTTCTGTGCAAGAAAGGTCTCTTGTGGCTGTGAATGCCACAGGAGCAGAAGGTAAACAGACCAGTTCTCACAAGTTTGTCAGCACTGACATGACGTCACAGACAGAAAAACATGCACCGGCAAATGTGTCTCAAGCACAAGTTACTATAGGTGTTATATAAACCGCCTCCGGCTATGTGCATAAAATGGACATAAACTGTAAATGAGCTCTGCATTTGGACTTGAGACCTGCCTGTGGAATCTCATTATGTTTATGAAAGTATTCTAAACTCCCGAAAATCTAAATCTAAAACAGTTCTAGCCCCAAGCCTTCCAGATGAGGAATAACCAACCTGAAGCATTCAATCAGGGTGCCACATCCTAAAACATCACTAATGAACTGGAAGACAGTAACGAGATGGTCTGGCGAAGGACCTGCTTGGGAGGAGCTGGTAATGTTCAGTGGTGAGAACAAGTGGCTTGTGGTCCCCAAGGCTGTCCCGAGGGCCTGGGAGGGCTTCTTTGAAAGCAGCATCCTGGTTCCTCCAGGTCTAGCCAGATCTGTGGTACCCACTGAGCCTCCCCTCTCTTCCATTCCTTCTTCTCGATTTCTCTCCCCACTGTACAACGGCAGGGTGAATGAAACACTTAGTATCTACGCTAAATCTTTACATCCAGCTGTGTTTTCAGGAAGGGCCTGAGCTTATTAGGCAGAGGGAATGCCAGGAGCCCTCACCACGCTAACATTCCAGGGTTTAAAGTTCCTACAGCATTGAAATGCACTCTTCATTTCTCCCTGCCCACACGCCATCCCTTGTCTCCCATAAAAGGCATGCCTCGTAAGGGTTCAGTCAAAATGCACATGAGGGAACCCGTCCCCTTCTTCCTCGGCCCTCCTCACCTTGCCCAGCTGGTGCCATGCCTCTACAGAACAGCTTTTAACAACTTACCACAAAACCGCAACCACTCACAGTGTGGTCACTACCTGTGTGTCCACATAAATGCACGCACAGCTGAGGTGTGGGCACAAGCACGCAGGAAACCGACCCGCCAAACAAACCGCTGTGGGCATCTCTGCGTGAGTAATGGACCCACTGTATCTCTGCGTTTTGAACATCGTATCATTTCATACGATGCGGTTTTGTTAGTTTCCTCACAAACGCTAAGGCACTTTTTAATTTTATTATTAATTATTATTAACAATTATTATTAATAATTATAATATATAATTGATCAATAATATTATTAATAAATAATAATAATAAAAGCGATAAGCATCCCTGTGCATGTACCTTATAT